TTTACGTGGCAAGGCCATGGGTTGTTATATGTGGCTAGGCCACTAGTGATATTCACGGTTGAGACCGCTTGATTTCTTTGATGTCAGCCAACATCATCGAGACTGCCATGGCTGTGGGAATCTAGTGGAGTAGAGCTTACAGATGTTATTACGTGGAAATGGGTTCACGGGTGATTGTATACTTACCTACTCGAGAGCCTTGTGAGTTTTTGATGCATACTCTTTTGCATGGTAGAGATTTGAGATTTCTTTGCAACTCTCCAAGTATGAATAAAAGCTTTTAGTGCTTACTTGATGAACATGAAATGTTTTACGTGGCAGTACACTTGATTTCTTTACATGCCACATAATTTGGGAGTGTGCATACTTATATCGTTGACCATATTTGTATGGCAAACAATGTTTTCAATGTTTGAACTTGGTTTCGTAACATTGTTTCAGCACCGTTTTTCCAAGTGAAAATATTATTATGATTTACGTCCTTATTTTAACAAGGTGCAAATATCTTACTTATGGTTTGGTATTTTAAGAATATGATTTGATATTCCGGTTTTAATATTCAACTTATCTACCTTATGCTTATTTCCCATTTACGCCCTGCTCACGAAGCCGATGATCACTGAGTCTGTGAGACTCACCCCTCCATATTTCCCTTTTGCAGATAATGATCAGCCTAGCGTGTATTCATCAGCATTTCAAGCCCACCGCGGATAGGTAAAGGCATCTCATAGCACTTTATTCTGAATCACTCCGTTGCTAGAGGTCGAGTCTTCATAGAGTAATTTGTTATGAAATTAGACAATTGTGTCAATACAAATGTACATTTGGAAATTATAAGTCATGATGTATTATTTTACGATTATGTGGAATAAAGGTTTATTCAATTTATAAAGATCATTGTTCAATTCTTTTTACAAAGAGCTTTATGGATCAAAATGATTTAATGGATTGATGGTATGAATGTGAGGTAATGATTAACGTTTTAATTAAGGCTTGTTCGGGACTTGGCGGGTTCTTCCATGAGACTCAGACGTCGGTAGTGATCGAGGAGCTGTCGTTACAAAATGCTCAACTTTTGAGGATGTAGATAAGATTATTTCAGTTGAACTATTGGACAATAATTTAGATCCAATAGCATATGAAACCGTAGCAGATTTTATAATTCATGGACCATGTGGTCTTGCACGTCTAAATTTGCCATGCATGTCTAAAGGATGTTGCTAAAAACACTACCTGAAAAAATACCAGCCAACTATGATCATAAATGAGAAGGGATTTCCATAATACAAAAGACAAGACACATCACATAATGCAATTATTAAAAATGGGATTCAATTAGACAATAGATTCGTCATGTCACATAGTGTAGATTTAATTGTTAAATACCAAGCACATATTAACATTAAGATTTGTAATTAGTTTAGAGCCATTAAATATTTATTCAAGTGCATAAATAAAGGGCTAGGTAGAGTAAGAATTGTTTTGGAAAATATGAATTCACATGTAGATCAAAATCGACCAATAAGATCAATTGAAATGGATGGAATCAAGACTTATTTAGATTGTAGGTATTTATCAGCATATGAAGCATGTTGGAGGCTTTTTGCATTTCCAATCCACCATCAAGAACCTGTAATCCAAAGATTGGTTATTCATTTACCACATGAGCAAAATGTTTTTTTCCATGATAAGGAAAATCTGTCCACAGTCATTCATAGATCAAATATAAACAACATTGCCTTTGCTTAATTGATGGTTGATAACTCTATTATATAGAGTTATTTTGAGTCATTTTGGGAGCTTAAGTAG